TGTTGCCGAAACAAACAATCCAGACAGGTAGACAGACAAAATTTCCAAAAAAATATTCTTTTAGCATTTATTGGTCTTATTAAGATGCCTCATATTCGTTTTTCTTAAACATCTATTTTTTTTTTATTAAATATTATAAATTAAATATCTGCGTAGTTGCAATTTTATTATATTATTAAGATATCTAAGTGCAAAACTCTTTCAACACATATTAGAAATAGGTCATTCATTATACTGCGGTAATGGACGGCTGTGTGGCGGAGCTAGATATCGAATGACGCAAAAGTACCTACACTTCTTTATTTATGTGATAAACGTGAGGGCACTTATGCGAGAAACTTCGCATTTATCTATTACGCACTTTCCTAGTTTTTTTTAAAGAGGGTTCTAGAAAAGTTGTTTTTTTTTATTAAGATTTTTTTAGCATTCGCGGAGTGACAAACAAGTTGACTGACGGCTTACCTGTTGAAAAGTGGTAAGCATCAATTATAGATATTTGATTATTTGAGTACATATATCAGAGGGAGGCTTTGTACAAAAGTCGTTTCCTTGTATTGCATTGCAGTTGTGTTTGCATGTCTGTGTTTCGGTTTGAGGGGTGGGATATGGTAATGAATTTACAGGGTACAGAGGAATAACACCTGAATCCTCAGGAATGGTAACCTATGAGGGGTTTTTTTTAATGGGTGATAATGGAATGGTAACCCCGCCTGCACTATCGGGATACGCTGGCGGGGCACCAGTGAAGGATGATAGGTGAGGATGAAGCAGGTCATTTGGCCCATCATGATGAATTCATCAGGAATTAACCATGATAGTTACCAGGGGGAACCGCGAGGATGTCGACCTGGTTGGGTATATTGCTAGCAATGGGATTTTTAGTCTTCATTACTAACAATCCCTTTCCCCCCAACCCATGAGGTTTATCATGGGTGAAACAATATACTTTGTTATGTTCACGGTACTGCTCATGTCTATAGGCGATCATCACACGATATATCATCATATCAAATCATACGAGGCGATACGTGAAAAATGTCTACGCATTATGTGTAACATAAGCGTCACAGTATACTGTATTGTTCTTATCAATTTTTTTTTATACAACTTAAAATGGCAAACAACCTAATGGAAAGTGATAACCATCGCCTATAGACATGTGCAGCACTATGAACACAACAGAGTATACAGTGTCGCCTGTGATACGTACCCTTCATGCGTTGCTATTCCTGAATACTTAGATGTTATGCTATTATGTTATGATGTTATGTTATGTTATCTAGTTTTGTGTACAAACAAAACTGGGGTAAAGGCCAATCATTTATAATAGTACTAAACGAAATGGCGAATTTTGTTTTACCCTCTAACACTACCTGGTACATTATTTTTTATCGGTACAAAAGCTACCTTATTTCTTAAGATAAAGCAATCAACACATATTTACAAAATCATTTGAGTTGCTTCAGAAATTAATAATTAACATAAATAGCAATAGAAAAAATACAGCCTCAACCCCAAACAGACAAGTCAAGATGTTTGGAAGCCATTTACTTAATGATTAAAACGCCATCCGTACGCCTGTTGCATTAAAGTCCTATTTCGACACGCAATTCTACGGAAAATTGCTCGCATTACTGTGTAGGTAATTCACTTAGTGTAATCATTACGGTCTATGAGATATTGAGTCGTCTCATTAATTGAGATTCCTTTCTTTAATATTCATATCATTATGATGTCGAGACGCAAGGGAAATTTGCGACAAACGCTTTGCATAACTACGCAGCTGTTTTACAGAGTTAGGATTGCTTAGGGTGTTTACGAAGCTGCGTATTGAGAGACATTATTTTTATGCAATATAGAATGGCAAACAAGCTAACGGCCCACCTGATAGAAAGTGGTAACCGTCGCCTATAGACATGAGCAGTACCATGGGCATAACGGAGTATACTCTTTCGCCTATGATATCTCCCATGCGTTGCCATTCCTGAGGACTCAGGTGTTATTCCTCTGTACTCTGTAAATTCACTGCCACCCTTCGAACCAAAACACAGCCATGCAAAAACAACTGTTTCACGGTTGAAACTCGAATGGGATAGAGGTGGCCAAGTAAACGACTTTTGTACAAAGTCTCCCTCTGGTTACATATACTCTAAATGCATCCTGTATTTATGTTAGTTTTGTTTATATCTAGGTAATTACAATATTAACCATCGGCCATCATCATCATCATATCCACTGCTGAACATAGGCCTCCCCCTATTAGAGAGGTTTGCCAGTATTGCTACGCTTGGCCTTAACCTGTCTGGTTAACAAGCGCAACTTTGGCGATGTTTAATGGGTGACAATGGAATGGTAACCTCGCCTGTGCTATCGGTATACACTGGCACCAGTGAGGGATATAAGGTGAGGATGAAGTCAGGTCAGTTGGCCCAACGCGACGAATTTAAAGATGATCAATCTCGATGGTTTCCAGAGGGAACAACGCCCCCATTTCTAACAATCCTTCTCCCCCTCGCTTTGGTGATGTTTTAAGAGTGACGCTGCTGCTCATTAAGTTCCCTTAGTCGCCTTTTACAACACCCACGGAAAAGGAATGGGTGATCCATTCTATGCCGAGACCACACGGCAACGGCACCATCGATACTGTGAGTATATTATATATTTAAAATTATGGTTATATATATGTAAACTATGGGTATATACCTGAAAATAAAGAGATTTATTATTATTATTATTATATCTATTTTACAGGCGTTATTATTAAAATTGTTAATTGTTAATTAATTTGATTTCAATGAATAAAATCTATTATTAATATAAAAAAATTTTCTTATATAGTAGAGACCCTACTGTCTACTGGGGTGGGGGGAGGGGATTGTCGGTAATAAGGACAGGTTACTGACAATCTCTCCTCCCAAAAAATGCATGAATAGGAGAAGAAAAAGACATTAGTTCGTTTAGTGTATATCTGCAATTACAATAAATTGTTATTTAAAGTTAATTAAAAATTCTCCTTCCTCCTTCCCAAAAATGAATTAGAGTAAATGGTTAAAGACATATCACAGAGCTGTCTATAATCAACTAAGCAGACTTAATGTTTTAGATAATAAATAAATTAATAGAATTATATAAATAAAAAAATAAAAATAAAACATAATATGACTGTAACTAGACTTTGTCTGTAAATAGGGAATATTTAAAAAAAAAATTATACGATTGGTTTTCATAAGAGTAATAGAAATAAAAGCAACACTTTTAGAATTTTTGTCTATCTGTCTGCATCTTTGTTCTTGTATAATTCAAAAACTATGGCAGTAAATTGAATGAGACGTTTTTTCTAAAGGTCGAATTTAAAATCGAGTGTATACCGGTAATTTATTTTGATATGCTTATCTAAGTAGAAGTAATCTATTTAAATCGATTCCTATCTTTAAAATTCACGCGTGTGAATCCATAATAACTTATTATAATATTATAATGTATTTCATATAGGAGCAATGGTCCTGTTGTTGTGATTAGCAAGGTTACCAGAACTCCATAGGGGGAACAGTTGAAGGTTGGCAACTTTAGGGTTGCAAGCGTCCCTTGACAGTGGAACATATATAAAATTATAAATAAAATAGAATAAAATATATATAAAAATGTTTTATCACAATTGCAACTGCGTGTGCTTTGTATGCTCATTTTGGCCTTGCAATAAGCTCGAAAGAAGTCATCTGCTTGGGTATTTCTGTTCCATTCGTTTTATTATGGCAGCTATGACTGTATGGTTGTGAAATTATGCGTTGTTATTCCTACTGGGTTCCGTATTTTCGAAATTTTAAACGAGGGTTTCGCGGGTGTCACAGTGTATTCTGTGATGTTTATGGTGTTATTCTATATATGGTGCTAACGACAATATAAACGAAGACAATATAAAGACAATATTTACATTATTGCAAAGATGACGCGTTGAGTTTTGCCCACTAGTTGAACTTGTATTACAAAAACGAAATCATTAGATTGTTAATATATTTTCCCACTGAATATTTATCTAGTCTAAGTTATATATATATATATATATATATATATATATATATATATATATATATATATATATATATATATATATATATATATATATATATATATATATATATACTACAAATATAAAACCTCAGAATGTTTAGTGTATGCATTTGTATGTAGGTACAGTTACTAGCATAGTATTATATTAAGTATGACGCGGTAATAGTCAATAATCAGTCTCGCATCCAGTCACCTTTTTACTCATGAACTTATATTTTTTTCGACTGTACTATTTTTTTTTTATTCATAATACTAAAACGATACAATTTTATTTGTGTGAAAATATCTGTACTATTAAACAATATATAACATTTTTTCATAGAATGTAAATTAAGATACCTAAATGTAAATTTTATTGAGATGAGAAGCGATGACAAGGGGGGAGGTGCTTTCAGTCTCTCGGCAACGGAAGCTTTTATGTTTGTGGTTTTTTTTTCTCAAAATTATATTCAGGTCAGTTCGCCCTCGACAATCAACCTACATTCGACGCAGAAAACTTTGACTGACAAATTGCTGAGTACCTACGACATAATAGGGGGTGGCTTGGCACGTGTTTTTTATATATGTCGCTGGTATAGCAGGAATCGTATGTAAATATTCCGTGTGCGAACCAAATACCGCATTATTATATAATATCTGCAAGTGCCCACAATTTGAACAGATCAAACAATGTCGAGCCTCGAATGTTGACATAATATTGACCGACAATCGTCCTCCGCAAATACGGCTAGAATCGGTGTCTAATCTACAAACGAAGTTGACCACGGCATTCCTTAATAGAAATTAATATACTGATCTGTTATTATTAACCGCTAAGGAGACAGGGGTTTGTTTACCGGTGCGGGCGGGGCTCGGCTGGAGTCAGGGCGGCGCGCGGCGGCCGTCAGCTGGGTGCGCGCGCCGCGGTCGATACGCTGGCACAGGGCGCAGGCGCGCGCGTATCGAGCCCACACGGGCCGCCGCCGCCGCCGCCGCTGCCCGCGACCGTGATGCATGCGGGCACCTAGCGGCTACACGCGCGCGGGCCTCATGGGCACCGTGCTGAGCTTCAGCCCGCGCGAGCGGCGCCCGCCCGCCGCCGCGCCGCCGCCGGACCGCGCCGCGCTCGCCTACTCCTACGAGCGGCTCAACAACGCCAAGAACAGGGAGAACCGCGACGTGCCGCGCGACGAGCGCCGAGCCACCCTCGATGACGCCGCCAAAATCATTTCCGAGAAGACCGCCCTCGAGAAGAATCTGAAAAAGCACTCGTTGTTTATCAATGCCCTCTCGTGGAAGCGGTTCTCGACGGCGAACAACAACAAGAAGAAGTTAGAATGCAAAAGCAAGAGCGTTGCGACGTTCCGGCCGCCGCTGACGGACAATGCACCGCTCGACAGGAACAAGAACTTGAGCGTGCAGGGTGCGGTGTATGCGCGGCCGACCGCTGTGCCCGCACCGCTGCCTCCGCCGCCTGCGGAAGTCGCGCGTACCAATGCGCTCAACAACAATGTGTGTTACACCGAGAAGCTGCCGACGACGGTGGTCGGGCCCGTAGTAGCACCCCGAAAGACGGTTATACAAGCGTCGACGTCGGAACTCCTCAAGTGCTTGGGCATGTTCCTGCACTCACGGTGTCACCGGCTGCGCGACTTCCAAGCGGGAGACGCCGTCATGTGGTTGCGGACTGTAGACAGATCGCTGCTCTTGCAGGGATGGCAGGTAAACAGCAAAATAATCATTTATTTACAGTTACAGTTGTGACCAAGTAGCGACCTCTATGGTAAACGTTGAAACTGGCACATCTTTTGTTTGGGTCTGTAACGATGCCCTCGGGACTGCAGTATTTGGCTGACATATTATTATAATGAACTTTTCATGTCATATTGCCTGCATCTAATATAATATCTACCTAAAAATAAAATAGAAGGTATTATGTAAGAAGTACCTAACTGAGTATGTGCAGTTTTGTGATAAAAGGAAATAATGCATAGGTCTTATTTCTTACGCTTACCTAACGCGGTCGCTCGAACAATAACTTTTTATCCTAGGACTTTGTTACCATCTTGGCGCCTTAACGGCTCCACTTAATCAAACCTAATGAAATTTAGTACGCACATAGCATTAGAATGGAGAAAGGCATAGGCTATATATCTCTGTCATACGAACGAAGTTGCGGGTATTATCATCATTATATTAGCCGTAAACTCTCCATTGCTGAACACAGGCCTCCCCCATAGACTGCCATAAAGAACGACCTCGAGCCACCTGTAACCATTGACTTCCTGCAAATTTCGGGCATATCTAGTCGTAGTGGTATTAACGTATATGGTGACTCATTTAATTCAAAATGCCAATTCTAATTTGTAGATTAATGAAAAAACCAGTGAAATGACCTCGTTTAATATTTATTTGTTATGTGCGTAGGTAGTACGCACACCACGTTTCTATGAGCACTTTCATTAAATATTACTATTATAGTCTATTTTTGTTGTGCACCATGTAATGTGTGGTTGTAGGCAACATACGAAATTAAATTTAATATATAGTTATAATTTAATGAACTTAATGAACTTAATGAATTAATGAATAGTGATTTGGAAGTAAGACAAATAACACAAAATTATAATTACCTGATAAATATTGCTCAGAGCCAATGGATACAGTACCGGATTTAACTTTATTTTTGTGAAAGTATATAATAGAGAACTAGTTGATTATAAGTGACTGATTTTTGTGTTTAGTACACATTATAAAAATGCTTTATTCTGTCTTAATATGAAATTAATAAAGGTAAATACAGTGTTTTCCTCATTCATGTGGAAACCTGATAAACCATTCTTATTTAATTATTTAATAATTTTAATATTATTGACAAAGTAACAGAAATGACAAATAATCGAAATGAACACAGACTGGTATATAGGTCAGATAAAGATTTAAGTCTCGTGAGAATAAACACAACGATTTTATTAAGGAAAGATATATTTAAAGAATAGAACAATAAGTAATTTAAAAATTGACTGACACTTAGAGAGAAGCGAATATTAGCCTACCACTACTCATTTGATCAGATGACTATGGACTTTCCTTTAAAAACTTCTTTCTCTTAGAGAACTTCTTTGACAAATTTCATAGGCTTGTCTTAGATTTTTCTATACTTGGGTCAGGTTTATGTTGTCATAGGCATCGTTGCTTCGCTTTTCAAAAAAATCAGATTCGAATTTTTTTTATACAACTTAGAATGGCAAACAGACTGACGGCCCACCTGATGGAAAGTGGTAACCATCGCCTATAGACATGAGCAGTACCATGGACATAACAGAGTATACTGTTTCGCCCATGAAACCCCCCATGCGTTACCATTCCTGAGGACTCAGGTGTACGCCATATCCCATCCTTCAAACCGAAACACAGCCATGCAAACACAACTGCTTCACGGTAGAAACACGAATGGGCCAGAGGTACCCAAGCAATCGACTTTTGTACAAAGTCTCCCTCTGGTGTTATAAATAATGACAAAGTTTATAAAATTTGCATGTAACATTGTCCAGTATATTACGTCAGAGGCCTTCATTATAAAGAAGTTCACCTAAAAACTCTCGATATGTTTGAGTCGAAGTAGTAGACAGTAGTTGTCAATTTCCAACTGTTATTAAGTCCACTATTAAATAAGTCTAGACACTGGTTAGAAGGGACATCGGTTCATGTCATTCAATAGGACAATATCATATTATTAATGTATCGATGCGATTCTGTTTCTCGATCTTGAACGTAAAACTATTGTGTTATCAAACAGCTTATATAAGACTTAAAGTATTGAATCTGTGTTTTCAGACCGTCTTTTATTTAAATTTCAACTGTATTTCAAATTAATTTGGCATTTCCCGTTTTGATTATAACAATTACAAAATAAGCTACATTATTAATCAATATTTTCTAGTCATCTCGTTTAACATGAACTTGACCTATGTGGTCTAGTTTTCGAATGTCAAGATTAACTATTTATAAGTAGTTAAATTTATACGAGCAATCGATCCAATTGTTAGATTTCCGATAAAGTTAAAATTAGCCTAATCGTCAAGTAATTAAGACTGAATTAAGGATTATTTTTCTTTGAATTTGTCTACTAATTAATTTGAAACATTAATACATTTCTTTTTAAATATTATCATCATCCTCGTATCAGCCGTTAACTGTACACAGCTGAGTATAACCTCTCTCATTAAGGAGGTTTTGCCATATTTGGCAGGCGAGTTGGCAACCACAGTTAGGCTTTGGTGATGTTTTAAGAGGAATGCTGCTGCCGATCCGTCGATCATTAAGTTCCCTTAGACATTTCTTCCTTCCGGGACAACACGGTAAAATGTTAACATTAAATACAAATTAATTAAGTAAATTAATAAAATAAACAAGTTAGAAGAAATAAACTAGATAGAAAAATTGACTAGATGAATTGAATAATGAAATTAAAATTTCATGACAACACTATGGGAGAATTCAGAGGAAGAACTTTTTGAGCAAAAAAGAAGGAAATTCAAAATTCGTCTCATTACATCGATTTTAAACCGTAAAAATGTTTTTTTTTTCAAACGACAAAGTTTACTTTTGCATTTACATATATATTTCGTGATAATTTAAACAGCCGATTTTCTTTTCGGTACAGCAAATTGGTCATTACGAAGTAAAACCTAATTAATGTGTCCTAAACTCAAATTTCCAACCCACCTGCCAAGCGTGTCAACTACTGCAAAATTTGGGAAGGCTGAAATAATAATAATAAGTAACAAACTCAAATTTAAAAATATGCATGTGTTTTTTTTTCACGTTTTAGGTCACTGATTTTTTCCTTATAAAATATATCTATATGTTATATAGTTGTTAAATGTCTTATATGTAGTTAGTCTAATAACCTTTAAATATTATAAATTCCTAAAGTATTTAATTGAATAAATATATTTCGTAATACTAACATGTCACGAAATGTTCATTGACTTGTGTCATGAACCAAATCGTCGAGCTAAGGCACCTTCGGGCCTTGAATTGCTTCGACTGTTATTTCAATTATTTCGTGACTCATTTCACTGTATTTCCAAGAGGAAATACTGGTAGAATGGGTTCTATTATTATATAACTATTTGTTAATTAGCTAATTTTTTCTTAACAAATTCTGTAAACATGATATCGCATGTTATCGTTGAATACCGTAGTGGAAAATTTAGTACCTACTTGTATTTCTTCTGTAATATAACCCGTCCTTTAAATATGATAGAATTTTCATCGTGCCTCCGATCAAAATGTTTTTAATTACTCCTCTCCACTCAAAGGTTGCCTGGAAGAGATCGCCTTTAGCGATAGAGTCGCCCATTGTTTTCTCACTGTGATCATTTCCTGTAATAGTTTGTATCCATAATAAGTTTACTGCTGTAATCTTTTGGAGGAAACAATAAAGAGTATCTATATATCTATCTATCTATCCTTCTTTCTTTTTTCAGTCTAAAAAAAGAAAAAAGATATTTTTCCATTTTTATGAAAAATTAAAAAATATAACCTATTACAACATTTTAAGACTAGTTATTACCCGCAACTTCGTCTGCGTGACCATTCATTGACCAGATTAAATAGCCTATGCCCTTTTCTGTCCCTCCGTGTACACAAAATTTCATAGTAATCGGTTAAGTCATTAAGAAGTTAAGAAATAACAAACAAATTGTCTTTCACACATTAATACTGTAACGTAAACTTTCCTAAAGTCTAATTTCAAATCTAAATTTCGCTTATATAGTCATAATTATAAACATTAGAATTAAAGGAAAATGTAATAAACGTTTCACGACTCTAGTCTTTATGGGGTATTCAGTGTTATTTCAGTTGTCAATGTGACCTAACATTCGACATACCATACAAAATCAGCCATAACCTATCTACTGCTGAATATAGACCTTTCCATATTGGGGAGGTTTTGGCATTAGTTGTAAGTTGGCAGGCGGGTTGGCAACCGCTGTTAGGTTTTGATGACATATCAAAAGGGACGTTACTGTCTATCCCTCGATTATAAGGTCTTAGACGATTCTTACTATGCCCATGGGAAAGGAAAGGGTGGCCCATTCTGTGTCGGGACTACACGATGACATGCCCACTAGGAAACACTAGGATCAATTTGATTTCATATCCAAGTTTACTATCATTGGGATTACAATCGAAAATTTAAGTTATTTCTCGATTTGCCCAGTGGTTGACTGGTAGAGAACACCGTTCAGTGTTAAGTATGCCAAATTTACATTAAATTTTACTGTGCATTAAAGTTTATATAAATAAATAAAATATTAAAAAAAAATTAGTCAATATTTGTTTGTACATGGAAAATATTTAAAAAGGGTAGTCAGCATAAGGAGTTTTAATAAGGGCATTAGAAACCAAAACAATTATTTTTAGAATCTTTGTCTGTCTGTCTGTTTCTTCCGGTACCAAACAAAAAATACTGCACGAATTTGAATGTGGCTTTCACAGTTTAAATCTAGAGTATACTTTACTTGATTTGATGCGCCATCTAGATGTGGTTACCTTCTAAAATCCATGCGTAGGAAGTTGCGGGCAAAAGGTTATTATAAATAAAAGGATTATTAATATATTAGTAATAGGATATTATAGTACACCGAACCATCGTGTTAGTAGGTAGTAAACGGCTCTACTTCATTCAATATAACCAAAAACTTACGTCA